AGAGCCCAGACCTGACCCCCCCCCCACACTTCCCCCCATGCCCCTGCCAGCCTGGGGCTGGCACCTGGGGGGATCCTTGATTCCCCCTGGCTGCTTCAGGGGAGCCAGTCAAGGCAGGAGGGTAGAACTGCCCTGGACTGTATTCCTCCTGTTGGTAGCAAATTCATTCCTGACAGGGGCACATAGGTAGACATGCGCCCTGGAGTGCTTTCATAAGACTGAGTTTTCTCCACAGAAAGTTAGAATCATAGAATACTGGAGTTGAAAAAGACCTCAGAAGGTCATCTAGTCCAGCCCACTGTTCAAAGCAGGACCATCCCCAACTAGATCATACCAACCAAAGCTTTGTCAAGCTGGGTCTTGAAAGCCTCCAAGGATGGAGAGTCCACCACTTCTTTGGGTAAACTGTTCCAGTGTTTTACTACCCTCCTAATAAGAAAATTCTTCCTAATATCTAACTTTAAAACTTACCTTGCTGCAACTTGAGACCACTGCATCTTGTTCTGTCATCTGCCACCACTGAGGATAGTCTAGCTCTAGTCTTTTGAACCCCTCTTCAGATAGTTGAAGGCTGCTATTAAGTCTCCTCTTATCCACACTAAATAATCCCAATTCCCTCAGCCGATCCTCATAGGTCAAGTGCCCCAGCCCCTCACCATTTTTGTTGCCCCCTGCTGGACCCTCTCCAATTTGTCCACATCCTTTCTGTAGCGTGTGTGTGGCAGCGGGGATGGGAGGGAGGGGCAAAATGGAACACAGGACTCAAGATGTGGATTCACCACTGCTGAATAGAGGGGAATAATCACTTCTCTTGATCTGCTGACAACACTCCTACCAATGCAGCTCAGTATGCTGTTAGCCTTCTTTGTAACAGGGGCACACTGCTGGCTCGTATTCAGCTTATTGTCCATTGTAACCCCAAGGTTCTTTTCTGCAGAGCTGCTTCCCAGCCAGTCAACCTCTGGCATGTATCGGTGTATGGGATTATTCTATCCTAAGTTCAGAACTTTGCATTTGTCCTTGTTGAAGCTCATGATATTTTGTTTGGCCCAATCCTCCAATTTGTCTAGGTCACTCTGAATCCTAGCCCTACCCTCCAGTGTATCTACTACTCCCCCCAGCTTGATGTCATCTGCAAACATGTTGAGAGTGCACTGTATGCCATCTTCCAGGTCATTGACTGAATCCACAGAGCCAGTCACCTCATCATAGAAGGCAGTCAGGTTGGTCAGGAATGACTTGCCCCTGGCAAATCCATGCTGACTATTCCTAATCACCTTCTTCTCCTCCAAGTGCTTAGAAATGGATTCCTTGAGGATCTGCTCCATGATTTTTTCCAGGGACTGAGGTGAGGCTGACTGTTTTGTCATTTCCTGGATCCTCCTTTTTACCTTTCTTAAATATGGGCACTATGTTTGCCCTTTTCCAATCATCCAGGACCTCTCCTGATTGCCAGGAGTTTTCAAACATGATGGCTAGTGGCTCTGCAATCACATTAGCCAACTCTTTCAGCAGCCTTGGGTGCATCCCATCCAGCCTCATGGACTTCTACATGTCCATCTTTTCTAAATAGTCCTTAACCTATTCTTTTGCTACTGTTGGCTGCTCACCTCCTCCCCAAACTGTGCTGCCAGATGCAGTAGTCTGGCAGCTGAACTTGCCTGTGAAGACCAACTGAGCTAAAAAAGGCACTAAGCATTTCGTCATCTGTCACAGGGTTAAGGGACCCACATTTTCCCTGATCCTCCTCTTGCTACTGACCTACTTGTAGAAACCCTTCGTGTCCCTTGCTAGCTGCAACTCCAACTCAGCTTTGGCCTTCCTGACTTCATCCCTGCATGCCTGAGCAATGCTCTTATATTCCTCCCAATTATTTGTCCAAGTTTTCACTTCTTATAAGCTTCCTTTTTGTGATTTAGTTTACTGAGAGTTCCCTGCTAAGCCAAGCTGGTCTGCTGCCATACTTGATAATCTTCATGCTCGTTGGGATGGTTTGTTCCTGAACTCTCAGTTAGGTTTATTTAAAGTACACCCAGCTTGCCTTGACTCCTGTCCCACTCAGGCTGTCTTCCCAGAGGATCCTGCCCATGAGTTCCCTGAGCAAGTTGAAGTTTGCTTTTCTGAAGTCCAGCATCCTTACTCTGCTGCTCTCCATCCTTCCTTTCCTCAGGATCCTGAACTTCATCATCTCATGGTCACTGCTGCCCAAATTGCCATTCACTACTATATTCTCCACCAATTCATCACTGTTTGTGAGCAGCAGGTCAAGAAGAGCATGGCCCTTAGTTGGCCACTCCAGCACTTGCACCATGAAGTTGTCCCCAATACTCTCCAAAAACTTTCTGGATTGCTTGCACACTGCTGTACTGCCCTCAGAGCAGATGTCAGGTTGATTGGAGTCCCCCATGAGAACCAGGGTCTGCGAACAGGAAACTTCCACTAGCTATTTGAAGAAAGCCTTATCCACTACATCCTCTTGATCTGGTGGTCTACAGCAGACCCCCCCCACCCCAAATCATGACATTACCCTTGATGCTCTCCCCTCTGACCCTAACCCAGAGAGTCTCAAGAAGCCTATCTCCAGTTTCATACTGAAGCTCTGAGCAATCATACAGCTCTTTTACATAAAGTGCAATTCCTCCTCCTCTTCTCCCCTGACAGTCCTTCCTGAACAGTTTGTACCCATGACAGTGCTCCAGTCATGCAAGCTATCCCACGAAGTCTCTGTTATTCTAATCAGATCATAGTTCCATGACCAATGGTAATGCATAGGGGGTGCATGGTGGTGCACATGCACCCCAAGAGTGCTGGTGCACCCCTTGACAGGTCACACTCCCTGCTTAGGCAACGGGTGAGGGGGCAGGCATGGGCACCTGCCAGGGAGTGAAAGCACTGGATGAAGTGCCATGGCCACTTTTGGGACTGCCATGGCCACAATCAGGAGTGCCACCGCTGCTTCCCGGTCAGTGCAATTGGCTGCAGGTGGACTCCTAACCTGGTTGGTGAGATCAGCTGGTGGGGCGTGACCATCAAGATTGGCCACAGGGACAACCCCCCCAGTCACTGACTGGTCACTGGGCAGGAGGTATGGGCCCCCCCTTACTAACATGGCACCAGTCGCCCATGTCCATGACTGTGCAAGGACTTCCAATTCTTCCTGCTTGTTTCCCAGGCTCTGTGCATTTGTGTACAGGCACCTAAGGTAACTAGTTGATTGTCCTGATTTTTCAGGAGGTATGAAAGCACCTCCCCTGTTGCCCC